GTATTTTTCTAAGAGTTTTACAGTTTTAAGTCTTTGATCTATTCTGAGTTGACTTGTGTGTGAGATGTGCTGTAAGGGTCCAACCAGTTACCAAACTATCCCAGGGCTATTTGTTGAAAAGTCCCATAACCGGGCTCAGTGTCTCAGCCTGTAATCCCGGTGTAATCCTCGGTGGCTGAGGTGAGCGGATTGCCTGAGCCCATGGGTTCAAGACCTGCCTGGGCAATTTGGCGAGACCTCATCTCTATAGTAAATCAAAAAATTGGCGGGGCGCGGTAGCGCACGCCTGTAGTTCCAGCTACTTGGAAGGCTGAGACGGAAGGATCGCTGAAGCCCAGCAGGTCGTGGCTGCGGTGGCCGGGAGCGGCTGCTGCACTCCAGTCTGGGCGACAGAGTGAGACTCCAACTCAAAAAAAAAAGAAAAGGTCCCATCAACTGTTGAGGTAGGCAAGATTGGTGCTGTCAACTCCATTTTACAGATGAGGAAATAAATCCCAGAAGAGCTAAGTGATCAGATCAGTCCTGATAACAGAAGCAGAGCCTCTACACCACAGTTCCTCAGGTCAGGGCCAAGGCTGTTCTCGTGAGTCTTTGAGAAGGTGTCCCTGTCTCCTCCAGCTTTGGCTTCTTATGTCCCTTTAAAAGTTTTTCTTATTGATATAGTTCCAAGGAAAACTCTTATATCCAACATCATTTATTTCTCTGCCAATGTTTTCTTTCAGAAAGGAGAATAAGGGCTGGGTGCAGTGGCTCACACCTGTAATCCCAGCACTTTGGGAGACTGAGGTGGGAGGATTGCTTGAGCCCCCTGGAGTTCAAGACCAGCCCAGGCAACATAGCATGACCTCGTCTCTACAAAAAAAAAAAAAAAAAAAAAGTTAGCCAGGCATAGTGGTAGTGTAGTCCCAGCTACTAGGGAGGGTGAGGCAGGAAGACCACTTAAGCCCAGGAGTGTGAGTCTATAGCGAGCCGTAATTGTGCCTTGCATTCTGGCCTGGGTGACAGTGAGACCTCTACTCAAAAAAAAAAAAAAGAGGACTAGAGAAGTGTCTGGTGCTTGGTGGCCATTAGGGAGATTATCCAGAGAGAGCCTGCTGGTCCCGGTTGGTGTACCTTGTGGCATGGCCATACTCTTGCCCACAAGCTGCAGTGGGCTCCCGTGTGGGGAATGAGACCCACGGAGCCTCCCAGGCTCCTGTGGGTTCACCTAGAGGGGAAGATGGCCCTTGTAGTCTACAACAGTGTGGCCAGGAGTCTTACCCACGTTGAGTGATATGTGGTGGAGCATCTGGAAGTGTAGGTGACCCACCGAATCCTGACCAAAGAGCCCTCAAGGATTCATCACCACTTTCCAAGGAGCCCTTGGGTCACCCACCGTGACTCTTCAGGGATTCTTTGTGGCTGACGTCATAAGGTGTGTAGCTCTGAGACTAATGGCATGGTCTCACTAGAGGGACCCGAGGGTCTGTCTCTTGCAGCCCGTCCCCTGGTGAGGAGACGCTCAGAGCTCAACTGTGGCAGGCCCCATCTGTCTGCCCTGGTCCGCTGGGGACCTCTCGGGCAGGCATGTCCCTCTGCAGAATGTTCCCACATACAGGTGGTTACACTTACTTTCTTCACCGATCCACTATCAACACCATTACTTATTCTAACCACCTGATTACTTCCCCTTATAATCCTGGCCAAACTCCCTCTGGCGTCAGGCTCCAGAGAGAGTTCTGTCAGCTGAGCAACACCCCAGAGACTGCCTTCCCTGTCCCACTTGCCGTCCTGAGCCTTGGAAGCATCTTTCAGACTGGCGGGCCCTGCTGGGTGCCCACCCGGGCTCCTCCCCGCTAACCTTTATTATTGCCTCTGGTTACCCCACTTTTCCCAGTCCTGACTTTCCCCACACACCCAATTGTGGCCCCTTGGCCAGGACAGGACTCCCTCTTACCAGCAGGGCGGGTGCACGGCCAAGGGAGGCCTTGTTCCAGAGGAAGCATGACATGGAAAGCGAGAGCACTCAGCCAGACCCCCAACATGTAAGTCAGAACGCAGGGAGTGCAGGCCTAGTGGGAATTCCAGTGCTGGGGTCAACAGACTCAGGGTGGGAGCTCTTTTCCCACCATTACTGTGGTCCTGGTGAGTGGGCAGTCCTGTGGTATTGATAAGTAGGCTGCCCTGTGGTCTTATTGAGTGGTCTGCCCTGTGGTCTTAGTGAGCAGATAACTCTGTGGTCTTGTTCAGTGGACAGCCCTGTGGTCTTGGTGAGTGGACAGCCCTGTGGTCTTGGTGATTGGTCTGCCCTGTGGTCTTGGTGAGTGGACTGCCCAGTGGTCTTGGTGAGTGGACTGCTCTGTGGTCTTGGTAAGTGGACTCTCCTGTGGTCTTGGTGAGTGATCTGCCCTGTGGTCTTGGTGAATGGACAGCTCTATGGTCTTGGTGAGTGGACAGCCCTGTGGTGTTGATAAGTAGGCTGCCCTGTGGTCTTGGTGAGTGTTCTGCCCTTTGGTCTTGGTGAGTGTTCTGCCCTGTGGTCTTGGTAAGTGGACTGCCCAGTGGTCTTGGTGAGTGGACTGCCCTGTGGTCTCGGTGAATGGTCTGCCCTGTGGTCTTGGTAAGTGGACTGCCCAGTGGTCTTGGTGAGTGGACTGCCCTGTGGTCTTGATGAGTGGTCTGCTCTGTGGTCTTAGTGAGTGATCTGCCCTGTGGCCTCGGTGAGTGGACTGCTCTGTGGTCTTGGTGAATTTCTCTGCCCTGTGGTCTTGGTGAGTGGTTAGCTCTGTGGTCTCAGTGAGTGGACTGTCCTGTGGTCTTGGACTGCCTCAGCTTTTCCATGATCGAGTGAACTCACACCCAGAGGTCCCCACCAAATCAGGAAGTCCTGGAGAGAAGTTCTGTTTGGGGGACAGAATCGCTGTTCATTCTGGCCTCACTTTGGAGATTTCCTTTTGAAGATGTGGAGCCGTTCCTATGAGGGTTCATCTCTGGGAGGGTTTCACAGTCCATAGAAATGGGAATCTTCAGCTGATTCTGGGTCCTTTGATGAACGACACCTTTGCTGCCCAGACCCCATGGCAGGCAGGTTCCCCTGTCAGTCCCCACGAGGCTGTGCCTGTCCCCCCAACCCGTCCTCTAGCCCCCAGGACATGGCGGTACTTCTCAGCCGGTGGTTTGCATTCATACATTCACACAGGAGCCACTGTCCTCCTGTCCCCTCAGCCTCACACATTCCTGCTCCTTGGCACTGGTGTGTTGAGAACACGCTTGTGAGAGGAGGGGAGGAAGCAGCTTGGGCGGGAGAGTCTAGGTCTCTGAAATCCTTGAGATGAAGCCTCTGGGGGGGGCAGTCCTCCCACCCTACACGGGGAGGGGAGGCGTCAGGGCCGGCCTGGGCTCCGGTCACATGCTGGCCATGTCAGAACCGGCTCTATTCCTTTGTCCTTCTGTCTTCCAGGCAGAAGTTGTGGTGTCGCTGCAGCCACGCCTCACCCACTCATAGTTTCCTTGAGTTGTGGATCTGCCAGCAATAAGAGATTTTCAAATTAGAATCATGTAAGGGTTTCAGCCAGCTAAATGCTACTTTAGTTATTTTCCCAGCAAAACTGCCAACTCAGAGGGAGAAATACCACGAGCACACAGATAAGCACAATGCAGAGTGAGGGAGGAGCTGGCGGAAAGTCCTGCGGAAAGCGGGGCATGGCTAGAGGGGACACCCACCTGGGCCAGCGGAGACGGAGGGCCAGGCGTGGGTGGGAATGAGGGGACTTGGGCCTCACCAAGCCCCCTTTCATATGCGTTATTCTGCCAGCTTATTGCCCTACGTGGAATCTCAGAAGTGGGCTCTCAGAAGAGAGACGAGGCTAGGACAGAAAGAGCCTGGGAACAGTCAGTCGTGCTTGTGTATTTATTTATTCATTTTTTATTTTGATTTTTTAATATACATTCTTTTTTTTTTTTTTTTGAGTTGGATGGAATCTCACTCTGTCACTCAGACTGGCCTGGGTGACAGAGTGAGACTCCATATCAAATTTTACAAAAAGAAAAGAACATTCACAATCTCCTCAGAGGCCAAGGGATACACTATGGTGCCCTCTGAAAGCTTCCCCTCCAAGCCATCACAGCAGCGCTTTTGCCTGCCAGTGGGAGGTTGTGAGTGTGCTACAGCTGTGTGAGTTGCTGGATGTGTTCTTGACAGTGGGCCTGAGTTATGTGGATGATCAGAAAAGAAGACTCAAAATCTACTTCAGGGAGAATGATGGTTTCTTCTAAATTGATTAAAATATGAACAGTGTTATCTCTCTAGGGGCCAGGATATGGTCACTTGTTACTTGCTAGTGTGTGTTTTCTGCATTTAGTAAGATATTTACGTTCTAGAAGAAGAAAACTAACATTTAAAGACAAAGCTCAGCTTTTAATCCTGGCACTTTGGGAGGCTGAGGCGAGGGAATTGAGCCTGCGGGTTCAAGACCTGCCCAGGCAACTTGGCGAGACCTCGTCTCTACAATAAATCAAAAATTCGCTGGGGGTGGTAGCGCACTCCTATAATTCTGGCTACTTGGAAGGCTCTAGGAAAGATCGCTGGAGCCCAGCAAGTTGACACTGGGGTGGCCGTGAGTGTGCCATGGCACTCCAGCCTGGGTGACAGAGTGAGACTCCAACTCAAAAAAAAAAAAAAAAAAAGACAAAGCTGCCTTCACGGAAGACATTCCTTCAGCAGAGGAGTGGATTCCTAACAGTAGGCAGAAGCCCCTGTTCAGTCCCCCAGAAATGCTTCCAAAATCCCTTTCACTCAGTTTTCCGTCGAAACACTGAAATTCTCAGAAAGCACTGGGAAGACAGATGCCCCGGGACTGTCTTCTGCTGAGAACAATTTTGTGCCACAGTGTTGGCCCCTGGACACTGTCCAACACCCCTCTCTGCCCTCCGCCCACCCACTAACCCACCCCTGTGCTGTCTGAGCCTCCCATGTGGCGGAGGCAGGACATGCTACCCGATGCATGCTGCTTTCCCTCCAGGTGGGCCTACCATGACTTCTTCAACCGGTACCGGGTGCTGGTCAAGAAGAGGGAGCTCGCCAACACGGACAAGAAGGCCGTCTGCAAATCTGTCCTGGAGAACCTCATCAAGGTGAGTGGGTGCGGGCTCCGGGCAGGTGGACCAGGGGCCCTTAGAATCCACGGGTGGGGATCTCGCCACACACTTTGTCTTCGCTCTTCTCGCTGAAACTGTTTCTGAAGGACTGGTCCATTTTCCTGCATCAGTGACTGGAGAAGAAACTCCTTCACCTGACTGGGGTCTCCTGGGCTTTTCCACGTCTCAACACTCACAGAAGATGGATGTATTTGTGTACTATAATGAGGCTGCTCTTGCCTATGGATGCCGGCCCGGCTATAATGAGGCTGCTCTTGCCTGTGGATGCCAGCCCAGCCCCTCTGGCTTTTTGGTGCCCCAGGGCTGCAGGGCTTGGTCCACCTGCTCATGCTGGTCACCTGGGCAGAGCCTGGTCTGGAGCCTGGCACAGCCTGAAGTCAGCAGAGGGAAGGCAGCTGTGCTGCCCACATCCTTGCCAGCCTCTGGCCCTCCCAGATGCTTGTTTTCAGTAAGGTGATAAGTTTACATTTAATTGATGCCACCTGAACCACACTTGACCACAGACACTGGAGATTCACAGAAGCAGAGCTAGGAGGGTCCCTCAACACATCCATGGTGACAGAGAATTCGGGGATGACCACAGAGTAGGATAATCAGTGCCTCAGAGAGGCTGAATTATATCAAAACCTTGCTTTGAACAAGGCAACAGAAAGAACACCATTAAAAATTTTAAATTTTCTTTTGTTTTATATATATTTTATTTTAAAGATGTGGGGTACAATTCAGGATTAGGTATACAAGTAGACATAGTACAGGTAAAGTTTGGGTCTCCCTTTGGTCCCCACTTTGCCTGGTTTGAGATCAGGTACCCTTATTGATGTTGTGTCATGCCCCCTCACCCTGGCAGTATCCCACTACTGCCAATCCCTTTCTTATAGTATTATGGTAAATGTTCAGGGTCTGCTTATGAGTGAGGATATGTGGTACTCTGTTCTTGATTCTGTGATAGATCACTGAGCATGATAGACTCTAAATCTGTCCAAGTTGCTGCGAAGGCTGTATGATTGTCCTTCTTTATGCTATATAATATTCCATCGTGTATACATACCACATTTTTTAAAATCCAGTCCAGTTTTGATGGGCTGCATGGTTGGTTCCATGTTTTTGCTATTTTGAATAGTGCTGCAATTAATCAAGCAGAAGAAAGAATCTCAGAACTTGAAGACCAAAACACGGAATTAACCTGATCAAAAAACATAGAAAGAAAACTCAGAAAGAAGAACAAAGCTTCCAAGAGATGTGCAATTATATCAAGAGGTCAAACCTATGCCTGATTGATATTCCAGAAGAAAAAAGGGAAACAGAGAATACCTTGAAGCAAGTATTCCAGAAAGTTATCCAAGAAAACTTTCCCCATCTCACCAGAGATGTGACCATCCAAACACAAGAGATACAGAGAACCCTTTCAAGACATCAAATGAGAAGACCAACTCCTAGACACATAGTAATTTGTCTACACAAAGCAGGTACAAAAGAAAAAATCCTAAAGGCAGCAAGAGAGAAAGGTTAGACTACCTTCTGGGGAAAACCAATCAGAATAGCAGCAGACCTGTCAGCAGAAACACTACAAGCTAGAAGGGACTGGAGTCCAATATTCAAAGTCCTCAAAGATAAACAATTTCAATCAAGAATTTCCTACCCAGTCAAGTTCAGCTTTATCAGCAATGGAGAATTAAAATCTTTCCCAGACATCCAATCCCTAAGAGATTACGCAGCTTCCAGACCAGCTCTACAGGAGATGCTTAAAAAAGGTATTAAGCACAGAAAAAAGAAAAAAAAAAGAATGACCGTGACTTCCCAAGAGATCAGGAGAATGCAGAATCAGCAAAGAATACATTGCAACTTCAAACTGAAAACACACACATACATCAACCCAAAAATTAAAAGAAACAAAGAAAAAACCTTATAAGAACCTCATGACAGGAATAAACAATCACATTTCAGTAGTCAGCCTGAACGAGAATGCACTAAATGCACCACTGAAAAGACACAGAATGGCAAACTGAATTAAAAAAAAACCCAATAATTTGCAGCATCCAGGAAGTTCATCTCACCACAAGCGATGCATGCAGACTCAGAATTAGAGAATGGAAAATGAATTTCCAGGCAAATGGAAATTCAGACGGAAAAGAAGGCAGGAGTCACAATCTTAATATCAGACAAAACAACCTTTAAGCTATCAAAAATTAAATTTTCAAGTATTTTGTTAGGAAAATCCTTTCATCTACACTAGCTCATTATCAAATGACCAGGATTTAAAGTCATGTTTTATTTTGTAAATATGTCAGTCATCTCTGAGCATTGTCTCAGTGGCTCAGTCCACCTGTAGATGGTGCAGAATATTATACTAAATGTCTAAATGTGTACATCGCTTGAAAGTTACCCTCTTTAAAAGGAGAGCCCATACCCTGGCCTCCCTTGTCCCTTTAGAGAGTAAGAGGGTGGCAGTCCTGGTTAGTTGAGGGCTGTGGTTAGTTGGACTCTGGTTAATCAAGGCACTGCTGTGGTCCATCCACCAGTGTCCACATTTTCATCTCTTACTTTTTATGGGTGAGATGAGCCTGTGCTCAGGGCCAGCTGACCTCAGGCAATGTGGAGCACCAGAGTCCTTCTCCTGGTTGTCCCGGGGCCGGCTGCTGTGCGAGCTGTTGCAGCCTGTGAGTGGCCGGCTCTGCCACAGGGCTGCCACACCCTCTGCCCGGGTCACAGTCCACTCACCTGTCCCCTTCCCTGGATCCTGCAGCATCTTGAGTGGAGCCCCTGCTTCCCAGACAGGCCCCTCCAGAGGGACCTGTTCAGCCTGGCTGGGCCAGCCACCCCTCCTGTGCCCTCCAGCTAGGAAACCACATGCGCCTTCCTGGGGAGGCCTCCTGGGTGCACTCAGGCCCTGGGTCGGCCTAGTTGCTGCCTGGCGAAAGAAAGCAGAGCATTTGTGTGTCTGCAGGGGAGGGCAGATGAAGTCCGGTGGGGAAGAGCTGGGCGGTGCAGGCGCATTCCCTCTGCTCACAATGGCTGGCCCCGTCCCCTTTCTGCCCTGTAGGACCCTGACAAGATCCAGTTTGGCCGCACCAAGATCTTCTTCCGGGCAGGCCAGGTGGCCTACCTGGAGAAACTGCGGGCCGACACGTTCCGGGCGGCCACAATCGTGATCCAGAAGACCGTCCGGGGCTGGCTGCAGAGGCTGAAGTACCGCAGGCTGAAGGGGGCAGCCCTGACACTACAGCGCTACTGGCGGGGGTATCTGGCCCGCAGGTGAGCCGGCAGGACCCCAGCATGTGGCAGGGAGGGACTGCCTCCTTGGTCTCTGTGAGAGGGGTTCCTGCTGGGTCCGTCTGCATCTGGGTTTGCCCCGGCAGCTGGGCCTGTCCCTCTGATGCATGCTCCCGTCACCTCAGTGTTTCCCCCAGTCTGCTCCCATCCCACCAGCTGGTTCTGCCCCAAATCAATCTTTTCCCTTTGCCTAAACCCCAGAGTAATAAAACAAACTTTTTTAGGAAGAGAGGCCAGTTCCCTTTCTCTCACAATTGACGGACACCTTAGCCAGGCATTTCAGAATGCCTTGGAGTTTGTAATTAGGGCTGAGAGGTCCTGGGACACCCCTCTGTGGGTTATTGTCTGACAGAAAGGGTGTGAACTGTCTGAGCGCCTCGTGCAGAGCCAGGACCCCAGGCAGGGGTCCAGCCCAGCCTGACCGGAGAGGGACATCCTTCTGAATGACTGATGCTACCAGGCTCAGATCTGCTGAGGCAGAAAGGGGGGCGCAGCCTGGAGTCAGACCACAGCCTGGGCCTCTCGCCAGTGGCCAGATCTTAGACCTAGCCCTGGGTCTAAGGGTCCTTTCCCAATAAGAACTGCCTTGGAGAAGGGATGGTAATTGCCTTGAAGTTGTACATGGGAAAGCCAGTTTTACAAGCAGCTGCTCAGTCACCTCTGTTTAAAACACAAAAATCCAAGAGAGCCCTGAGCACTGAGCACAGAACAGGCTACAGTTAGAAGGCTGCTCCCGCCTGTGCCCTCATGGTGCACTGTGAATGGCTTCTCCCAGCATAGCCCGCGATGATGCGAGCCGTTATTTGCCTCCAGACTGTTGGGGGGTGGGCTCCGGAGCAGAGGTTGCAGAGGTGCAGTGGGTGTCAGTGGGGTCCACACTGAGTGATCTTGGTGCTCAGTGCCCACTAAGCACATCATTGGGTACCCTCGTGTGCGGGACTCTGTCCCAGGCATCCAGTGTTAGGATATGGAACAGCATGGCCTGCATGCTCCCTGCAGGGAGCTTGTGTCCAGGGGATATGCCGGGCCCACTTGTGGAGAGAGGGCTTGCAGAGAGCCGGGCCAGGGAATCAGATGTACTTTAGCAGGTAGGGTGTGCGGCTGGTTGGGGCCCCTCCTCCCTGGGCTCTGCTCACGACTCCTAAGGTCCTTTCTGGCATTGAGTACTGCCTCTCCTAAGTACTTGTTATGAGCCTGGCAGCCCACAGACCCTTAGGAGGGTGGTAGGCGTCGGAGTGGCTTTCTGTTTTACTCGGGAGATAAGTGGGGGGGCGCTGAAAGAGAGGAGACGCCCACATCCTGGACATGTCTGTAGAATGCAGAATGGGCTGGGGACAAGGAGGCTTTTGTCACTTGACAAATGCCCACCTGGCACCTGCCCTGCCAAACCCTGCAGGGATGTTGGGGGAGCAGGACGATGGAGGGACAGACAGCGATGTGAGCACATCGCGAAGACTGTCCAGGTGTGGGGGCAAGGGAGTGCTTGGGTGAGGACCAGAAGTCAGACTTGGATGGAATGTGAGGCTTGTGGGGTGCAAGGGAGAAGCTGATGCAGCTGTTCTGCATCCGAGCGTCAAAGGCCCGGGACTGCCGCGCCCATTAGGGGTGAGGGGGGCTGGCCTGCCCTGGGGTGTCCAGGTAGACCCAGGAAGGGCCTGCCGATGTCTTAGGGCCTTGTGTGCCGGCATGCCGCTGCCCCCTCCCTGACGCTACCTGTCCTCTCTCCCAGGCTGGCCGAGCATCTGCGGAGGACCAAGGCGGCCCTGGTGCTCCAGAAGCAGTTCCGCATGCAGAGGGCCCTCCGGGCCTACCAGAGGGCCCGCCGGGCAGCCGTGGTCATCCAGGCCTTCACCCGGGCCATGTTTGTGCGGAGGCGCTACCGCCAGGTGAGCGGCACCCTGCGGCACTCGCAAGCAGCGGGTCAGGAACTAAAGCAGTGGCAGGCGGACACCCGCCAGGGACCCTGGTGCTTCCCCAAGACAGATGCCTGCTGGGGACCCCAGCACTTCCCCAGGTGTCTTCACATCTCTACTTCCCCCAAATCTTTTCTGAAGTCCACAAGGTAGGAAAGTACACATCCATTTGTGCTGCTGTAACAGAACACCTGAGACTGAGCCATTTACAAAGGAGAGAGGTTTACGGCTCGCAGTTCTCAAGGCTGGAAGGTTCACGACCAAGCAGCTTGTTTGCTCATGGTAGAAGGTGCAGGGGGGCTGGCATGGAGATCCTGTAGCAGGAGAGCCCTGGGAGGTGCCTGGCTCTAGAGGCAACTAACAGTGAGCACGTGCCAAGGGAGGGCATTGGTCCATTCAAGAGAGATCCAACCCATGACCCAAATACCTCCTACCGGGCCCCGCCTTCGACTGGAGGGGCCACGTTCCAACATGTAGTTTTGAGGGACAACATCCAAACTGTAGCAGTCCCGGTGCCCCTTGGACACCTGAGCTGCTCAGGGAAGCTGAGTTGCCCAGCAAGGGCATAAGCCAGCCACAGCAGGTTGGGCGGCCATCTCGGGCTCATCCGGACCTGACAGCAGGGCGAGTGCTGGGCATCAGCAAGTCCAACCCTTTCATTTGACAGACGAGTGCTAGGAGCTCAGCATGGTGAGGAGAAAGACCCCAACCTCCTCCCTGCCAGCAAAGCTGAAACACTTGACCAGGGAGCCCTCAGCCAAGACATGTTTGTCCCACCAAGTTACACCGGCACAACTGAAGCATGAGCCAACTTGAAAGATGAATTGGAAGAGAGCATCTAGAATGTTCGTTTCTTAAAGTGAACATCTGTCTCTGCCATGATCAGAGAAGGTGTGATTTTCTAAATAATTAAAGCACTGAGCTGATCATGCAGAAGCAAAGGTGGTCAGGGTGGACCACACCCTCACGTGATACATGGAGACGGTTCTGTGCATGTTTCTGAGTGTGTGGTGGCATCTGTGTGATGTCACCATGAAAGGGGCAGGTGACGTCTGAGAGGCAGCCACCAGGGGCAGCACGTGTCCCTCGTAGCTGTGACACTGTTACTTGTTCTGCCTGTTTGCTTGTTTATTCCTCAGACATTCATTTTGCTGGGTATTGGGGCAAGAACATTGATGATACTTTCATTTCCTGAGTAGTTTTTAACTTGGTAGAAAAGCAAAAGGAAACCCAGTGGATCACAGGCTACGTTTGGCATGAGCAGCCACAAGCCCACCGTGGACACTCACTGGGGTGCCAGCTCATCTTCCAGCTTATGTTACCAGGAAGGTCCACATCTGTTAAATGGGGGTGTCATGTGGCCCCTACGGCTTTGAGGGTTTCAGACTACAGTTCCTTAGCCATTAATGAAGAGTAAAGCAAAGCTGGAAACAGGCTGGGCTGGTGACCCCCATGGGTGGCAGGCTGTGGAACTGCTCGTTTTCAGCCACCAGCAACTCACATCCAGGGGAAAGTTCTCTCTGCACGCCCTCAACCCAAGGCTGGACCTGGCTCCCTCCTCTGGGCAGCAGCCGACCTTTGTCTCCTCCTCTGGGTAGCGGCTGACCTTGGATCCCTCCTCCAAGCAGTGGCCGACCCTGGTGCCCCTCCTCCAAGCAGTGGCTGGCCTGGCTCCCCTCCTCCCGGCAGTGGTCAGCCCTGGCTCCCTCCTCCAGGCAGTGGCTGGCCGCAGCGCCCCTCCTCCAGGTGGTGGCATGCGCTCCTCCACTCCTGTCCTGTGCTACAGCCCCCGGGCGTGTGTGCTTGTCCCCTGCTAGGTCCTCCTGGAGCACAAGGCCACCATCCTCCAGAAGTACGTGCGAGGCTGGATGGCACGCAGGCGTGTCCGCAGGCTGCAGGGTGCAGCCATCGTCATCCAGTGTGCCTTCCGGAGGCTCAAGGCCAAAAGTGAGCTGAAGGCCCTCAAGATCGAGGCGCGCTCGGCCGAGCACCTGAAGCGCCTCAATGTGGGCATGGAGAACAAAGTGGTCCAGCTGCAGCGAAGGATTGACGACCAGGTCGGTGTGAGCAGGCCTACACAGGGGTTGGGCTGGGCGGCGGCGCTGAGGCAGGGTAGAGAGACCCCCGGCTTCCTGGGGACCCGCAGGAGCCAAAGATGGGGGAGCACCATGTCCTCAGGTCCTGCCAGGCTCGGCAAGAACAGGTGCTGACATGGCAGGCAGAATGGTGCCTCCCAAAGGGCTCCTGGCTTGCCCAGGCTCTGTGAGTGAGGGACCTCAAGTGGCAAAGGGACTTGGAGATGAGAAGTTGAGGGTCTTGAAGGGGGGAGAGGACCTGGGTTTTCCAGGTGGGTGTGATGCGGTTGGACAGGAGACGGGAGGAGAGGGTGGAAGAGAGGGGACGGGAGGACGGAGGCAGAGGAGGCGAGGGGAGGGTGGAAGCAGAGGCACCAGCAGCCAAGGCACGGGTGGCCTCTGAGAGCCGGCACTGGCCACGTGATTGGTGCTCCCAGAAGGTTGGTCACAGCCTGCTGACCCCTCTGGACTTCTGCCCTCTAGGCTTAAGAGAACAGACTGGTGTCTCAAGCCACTCACTGGACGGTGAAGTGTTGCCGCAGTAGGAGGATGGTTTGCTGGCCCGAGTCCTGCTTCCCTGCTCTTGCGAGGGGGCAGGTGTAACCCCAGGACCATTCGGTGCTCCATGGGGCATCATGTGTGCGGGGCTCACCGGTGCCTTGTCTGGTTGCTTGCCTGAGCCCTGCGGCAACCTCTAGGGTAAATCTTACAATTGAACTTTCCTACAGAGGAGGAAACTGAGAGGGCATGTGATCCTCAAGTCATGCGGGTGGCAGTGCAGGCCGAGGCGGGAGCCCCCACTGTCTGGTACCAGAGCCTGCGTCCTGCACCACGTGGTCCTTCGCCTCTGTGGCTGCGTGGGGCGAAAAGAGCACTCACTTGGGAAAGCGGTGGAACTCAGCGCAAACCCAGCTCTGCTGCTTAAGGGCTGGGGGGCTGACTCGGCCACTCTGTGGAGCCTCTGTTTTTTTATCCATAAAATGGGGCTGACGGGGTTGGAAGACCAGTTAAATGGTCCTGCAGATACACAGGAGAAAACTTGGGACAGTGGTGTTCCCGGTGCTGCTGTTTTGTTTCAACCTTTCCCTCTGTCCTCCTACCCTGGCCACCCTTCCCACGTCGGCCAAAAAGCAAGAAGTCACTGACTGAGTCTGGGCAGTGGGTACTGTGCAGGGTACCGCCGGGAATTCAGGACCTGCAGTTCCTTCCAGCAGGGTGGGAGGTCAAGGCTCACAGGTGTGCATGTGCACACCACACACCCACTCTTGGTGATCAGGTGGCCGGTCCTCCTTCCCTTTAGAAGACCTCCACGGGGTGCCTGGTTGTTTTCAAGGCCTTTGTGAGGCGGGGAGGCAGTGGGCGGCCATGGCAGACATCGGATGCTGCATCACGGCGGAGGAATCTTACGCGTCTGTTCCCTCCTGTTTTGGGCACCTGCTGCATGCCGAGCCCCGCCACGCGTGCTCTATGTTCATGCTCATCCTCCCACGGGTTTGGGAGGTCATCTCGGAGATGCGGAAATTGTGGATCGAGGACATCAGGTGCCATGCCAAGGTCGCAGAGACAGAAAGTGCTAGAAGCAGACGTCCACCTCAGGCCATCTGATCCTGCGGCCATGAGGAGGGTGATGCTAGTTTTTTACCCTCAGACATCATGAAAGTGTTCCATCTCCTCCTGTGTGCAATCCCTTCTCAGCTCAGTCACCACGCACACAGGGTGTGAAGACCACAGGGCCAGGCTTCTGTGGTGCCCAGAGGGTTTTGGGCGCCTTCTGGGGAAGGAAAGGACACAGGAACATGCCTGGCAAGGACAGAGAGAGACTTGAGTTGGGGCCACCAGGCACGGCCTCAGGGGTCACTCGGTTTCAAGGCACCTGTTCTCCGCTGGGCATTTTTTTTTTTCTTTTTCTTTTTTTTGAGTTGGAGTCTCACTCTGTCGCCAGACTGGAGTACAGTGGCCGCTCCCTGCCACCATAGCTTCAACCTGCTGGGCTCCGACGATCCTTCCATCTCAGCCTTCCAAGTAGCCGGAATTACAGGCACGCGCTACCATGCCCGGCTGATTTTTGGATTTATTGTAGAGATGAGGTCTCGCTGCCCAAGCGGGTGGCAAACCTGCGGGCTCAGGCAATCCACTCACCTCAGCCTCCCAAAGGCGCAGGATTACAGGCTGAGCCACCGAGCCCGGCTACTGGGCATTTTTTAAGCGTCTCACAACCAAGTGGGGCAGAAAAAAAAGCAAGCCACTTGACACCTCAACCAGCTGACCAGGAGTCCCAGGCAGTGTGCAGACGGCAGCAGGGTGGCTCTGTTTTCCTGCTCCTGCAAAGGACAGGCCTGGGGAGAAGAGACCATGGCGTGATGCGTGTTCTCTGTGAGCTCGCAGGTGCCCTGTTGGTGCCTTGCCACGGGGTGAGACAGAAAGCCTAGGCACAGATGGGGGCAGCAGGTCGGTGAGGTGGGCAGGAGTGTAGGCGCAAAGGTCCCTGACACTGGCCCCTGAGAGCCACAGAGTACCAGAGTTTTTGTTGATATATGGCTAACGAGAACCAGACAGAAGAGCTGTGAAAACTTTCCCAGTTAACCTTCTGGCAGAGGGCAGTGGAGGACAAGGGGCTTCGACCAGTGTGCCCTGCCAGGAGCCCTGGCCCGGGCGTCTAGCCCTCGAACCTGGCTCTGGCACTGCTGATTTCTAAAGCTGACTTGAGAGGACAAAAATAACCCTAGTATTTTTCACTCCTCGTGCTTGAGCATCAAAGAGAAGCAGATTTGAAAAGCCTATTTTTAAAGAGTGCTTTTGCCTTAAGCTTCCTGCTTGGCAAACATCTGTGGGTGGTGGCAGGTGTTGGCCACCCTGGGCAGAGCGCCTGCGTGCTGAGGGTGAGCAGGAGAGGCAGGCAGGGGGGTGCACTCTCGCTGTCTGGCGCCCCTCCCCACGTCGCCTGGGATATGCCAGGCGCTCTCCTCCTGCATTAGCAAACTTAATCTCCCCCCACAGCCCTATGAGATAAATATTAACATGATTCCCAGTTTAAAGATGAGGAAACTGAGGCACGGAGAGGTCGAGTAGCCTGCCCAAGGTCACACAGCTAGTAAGCAGTTCGACCGGGGCTGAACTTGGCAGCCTGGCTTCAGGGCACGTTCTGCCACCTCTAACCACTGAGAAGCCCCTGGCTGTGGAGACTCTTGGGATTTCTCAGTCCAGGAAGACCCTCGCCCTTAGTTTGGGGTCATGCTCTCACAGATAGCGTTGTCCTTGGGGCTGGCTGGCACTTAAGTGGGGCATATGACCCAGAGTCAAAGAACATGCTTGACACCCTACTGTGGGAAAGGGTGCCGGCCCAGTCCCCGTTACAGGCATCCAAGGTGCTTGTTTGTGAGGGTCTCTCAGCAGAGAGGCCTGCTGTTTGGAAGAGAATTGTTTTTTTTCTTCCTGTAATTCCCAGAGACCACCTGGGCAGCCATTTTCTTGATTCTTAGGCCAGAAGGAGAGGATCTGCGCAGCCAGGGTCGCCGCAGATGAAGGTATCCTGAAGTGTTTATCAGGGCGACACAGGGTCGTGGACAGGGTCCTCATGGACGGAGCTCCCATGAACAGAGGCCAGGCTCCATCTGTCATACTTGCAACCAGAGCTAATCACCCAGAGATAGCTGGCCTTGAACTCCTCAGGGCAATTGGCCTGAGAATCTGCGATAACTTCTAGCTCAACAATTCACTAATCCCACGATCTGGCTGGAATAGGGCTCTGTCCCCAGGCTGCATTCAAGATCTCCAGGGAGCTTTTTAGAAAGTGTTCCCACTGCCAAGAGGTCAGCAAGGGAGGAAACAAAGATAAGCTAGATGAGGTGAGCACCAACATTCACAGCCTTGTGCAACCAAAGGGAAGAAGAGGATGCAAACTTGGCACTGAGTGTCCTAGCAAACAGCAGAAGGAAGGAAATGGTGACTCGAGTTTGCCAAGAGAAGCAAAGTGTGTCATACTGGGGTTCAGAATCATCCCTGTGCTGAGCTAGTTGGAGTGAGTTGCCATGCCCTTCACGGTACCCTCCAGCAGCACACAACGGCTGTTTAGACCACTCCTTATGGTGTCCTCGACAAGCCTGTGGTGTGGCAATGTCCAGCCAAATGACATAGCTGAGAGCCTGGCCTCCTGCCGGCCTGGCTTTATTCAAGCACACGCGTAGAGCAATTAGGCCAGCTGAACTTAGAATTTATTTATGATGGATGTCAAGTTTCTCAGGCCTTATGAGCATAATGTTATCCTTCAATACATTTTATATGAAAAAATAGGACACAAGTCTATGGAGTCAGTAACCTTTAGATCACCTTGATTCAATGTACTTAGTAGTCATTTGTAAATATGCTAGATTAGTTTGTGTTTTATGATTCACAAGAGCATTTCTCTAGAGCCTTGCACAAGCTGATGGCAGGGAAGTGTCCTGAGAAAGGTATCGTGATCTCATGGTGTGCAACCATCAAGGAGTCTGGACACGCCTAGATGCACAACCAACTGCATGCCAAGGCCATAGGGCACAGCCTATAGCTTCTGGGCCACAGACCTGCACAGCTTGGAACTGTGCTCAGTACTGCAGGCGACTGTACCACAAGGGTCTGTGTATCTAAATATAGAAATGATACGGTGAAAATACAGTAAAAAAGATGAAAATGGTCTGCCTGCATGGGTCACTTTTCATGAATGGAGCCTGCAGGACTGGAAGTAGCTCTGGTGAGTCAGTGCGTGATGGTGTCAGTGTGTGATGGTGAGGGTCTCCGACATGACTGTGTCCTACGGTAGACTTTATCAACACCGCACACTTAGGCCACATGAAATTTACCCAAAAATATATTTTTTCAATAATGAACCTTAGCTTTTTGACTTTATAGACTTTTAATTTTTTAAACCTATTTGTCCTTTTGTAATAACATTGTAAAACACAGGCACATTTTACAGATGTACAAAAATATTTCCTTTCTTGATATCCTTATTCTGTGTTTTTCTTTTTAAAAATTGTTTATTTTTTTACTTTTTAAACATTTTTGTTATCAACTAAGATACCGAAAACTATTTGAACTCCCTGAAGTGATTAAAATAAAAAAAATGTTAACAGAAAAAACAACTAAGACACAAACATGTACATTATCCTAGGTCTACGGGGTCAGGGCCAGTAACGTCACAGCAAGGGCTTCTGGGGTCTGTGAGAGCGTGAGTGCACTTGGCCATTCCCTTGTTGGGCTTGACTGCACGGCTGTGACATGAGGACATGCCCTCCCGGGGTCTTCCTTCCAAAGTCACACATCCAGAACACAAAACCCACAGTCCTGGTGAATCCCAGTGGCTGCGTCTGGGTGCCCGTGATGGTGAGATTCGGGGCTGCCCTGGCTCTGCTGTCGGGGGTCTCCCCACCCGCCCCGGCAGCCAGCAGAGACTGAAGGCCTCTTTCCGAGGCTCCCTAGAGAACTCTGATGGTGACACACCGGTGTTTGAGCCCCTGTGAGGTCAGTCGCTGTGACCTCGACTTTGCTCATGGGGACACTGGGGCAAGCTGACTGAGAACAGAGCCAGGGTCTGAGCACATGCCTGTCCAGCTGCGGCCATCACCCCCAGCATTCCTGAGTGTTCTTGGGCACATGTCAGGAGCCACGAGGCTGGGCCTTCTGAGTACACCATGCTGCCTCGGGGTCCTGAGGTGGTGTCTTGTGGACAGAGGGATAGGCTGTGCCTGTGCCCCCTGTGACCATGCGCACCTCTCCCAACCCCAGCCACCCCTTCTAAGACCTGGTCACCTGGCCTGGGCTGTGCTACCCCTGGGGCGACAGCAGGCTGAGCCTCACTTTCAGCCCAGAGCAGAGACGGAGTCAGAAGGTGGCTGGCCCAGCACCCAGCCCCTCCCTGAGCCCGATCCCTTATGCAAGACCCTCAGCCTCCAGTGGAGACCAGATGGGCGGTGTAGACATGCATTGGGTTTTTACATCGGTGCTGCCTAATTGGGTTTCTTTGTGATTCATTGGAGAGACTGATAGACCAGGCCTGGGGTGTGTTAGCTTGTAACGGGGAGGTTCCCACAGAGCATGGTGGGGAAAGGGGGTCATCCTTCTGTATCAGCCCGGGAAGTGGACTTGTGCGCTGACACGCGGGTCCCAGGGCAGGTCCCACGGCTGCTTGGCGTTGGGTGGGTCCGACAGTGTGTCTCTTGCTGCTCCTCACTGCTTAAGTGACATTTGGTTTGTACGAGTTGACTGCTGACTCCCGATGCCCGATGCCCGGCGTGTTCGTGTTGTGACTGATAGGTAGCTCTGTTTTGCTTGGGGCTCGGGGACCTGGTGGTAAAGGGTATTCGGCAATAGCTCCTCCTGCTGGGTGGAGAACCGGCTTCCTCCCTACACTCCCCGTGGCCAGCTGTAACCGATGCCATCACAACTCTCTCAGTGTAGCATCTGCCCGTTACACCTGCACTTGACACGGGCACCAGGTGCTTAGGGCTCTAGGCCC